GTTTTGCTCAGTTTTTCATGTTTTCCAATGCTAAATTTGTTCCATGCTACTTTGGCATCTCTTCTGAGTTGAGTTTTTTCTTGTAGTGCTCACAAAAAGTAAATGCTTCCTATTTATGTACACGTTTTTGTAAAAGTTTTTCCTAAAGTATATATTTTATAGGCATTTTTTCCTAGCATGACATAGTTTTGATTGTTGTTTCCTCTACTATAAAGATTTTTGAGGACATATTCCAATTATAAAATATTTGCATATTGCTTTATACTGTTTGTTCATAAAACTGCATCCTAAAATCCAGTAGCATCCACATATTAATAGATAATAAATTTTCTATTAATGTATAGATCTGGAAAATAAGCCTAAGGTAAGTTTGCATTAAAATAAAAACAAAACTTTTTTTTCATCCAATCACATATGATTTCCATAGATTCTCCTACAGCAGCATTACACACCTTGATACTTTTCATCTGCATTGAAGTGCAGTTCCTCATATTCCTAGCGAACTTATCTCATGCCAGCTTTATTTTTGTGGAGTGTAGATGTCATATCTGATCATGGACTTGCCTGGTCTGTCCAGAATTTCAGTTAACATCTATATTAAACCTATTGCAGTATTCTTCTTAGGCTGATGATGTATGTTCTTGTCTACCATATGGTTTTGAGAAACTGTACAAGGGTAAATGCAGGCTAACAAAACTTGATTCAAAAGGGTTATGAGAGCTCACATTAGGAGGAATAACTGATATAGATAGAAATGCAGATAGTTTGGGAGTGCTCCTAGTGGGTTATACTCAAGACTTCTTTTCCTCCATTTTAATAGTGTGCTAGTTATATCCTTATATCCTAGTAAAGGCAGATCTTTCTGGAAATGAAATACTGTAATGACTTTCAGAATGGAGTAATTTGCTAAATGTGGGCCTGCTCATAAAAAGTGTCAGTCTGCTATAGTGGTTGAGGTGCTGGTCTGGAAATCAGTAGAATGTGTATTCCATTTCCGATTTAGGCATGGACAACTGGCTGAGTGAATTTGGGCCAGTGTCTCTCAGTCCAACCCATTTCACTGTAAGAGATGAGCAGCCTGACCCAGAGGGCAGGGTCAAACATGTTATCAGTTTGGAGTCACTGTGCTCCCACAAGAGACTTAAGTCCAGCCCCCTGTGAATTTTGTTGACTCTTATCTAGCACCAATTTGACTTGAC